TTCCTCCACACAAAACCCCACTTTTCTGACACAAGTGGTTATTTGTCCCATTTGCTCTTGCCAACTGGTGAAGTTTAGCAACAGCAAATGGGACAAATAACCACTTTGGTGAGGCACCTCCCCCCAGGATAGGGCTGTATAGTCACGCTACCTGTCCCGATGACTGAGCTTCCCTTCCAGTGTTCCAAGAGCTGTAGGTCATCATTTGGAACCTTTCCTACTAGTCATCTTTTTTGGGGGGTGGTACTTCAGGATTTAAGATTGATGAATCTGTCTGCTCCTTGCTGTAGTTTTGTCACTTGGTAAATTATTCCCAAGACCTTTCATAGATCACCTGGGTCTATAAGAGGTTAATTTCAGAGTCCCTGGGTCTGGGGATGCTGTTTTCAGTCCAAATTATTCCCAGGCTGTTGTTGCATGTGTCTGATATCTGCATCTTGTCCTGAGCTGCAAAATATGACCCTTCCCAATCCAGCCATACGAAATGCTGATTGCACACACCTGCCTTTCAAGCAGATTGTAACACATGCTGATAAAACGGCTAAATGGACAAGATTTGACATATTTCTGGGACTGAATTTAGAAACTGACCAGGGTTCTGCTACAATGGGTGGGCTTTATTCCAAGGGGGTTGATAACAGTATTTTCCCAGTAATAAAACTTAGCGCCGAGGAAGAAATCAATTTGGAAGCCTCATGAGCTATTGCTTTACCATTGCTGTGAGGTGCTGAAACATTTCCTAACTCAGTTTGGAGTTCAGCTGCTACCGTAGCTGGTCTCTAACATTTCAGTCACTGAAATTTCTTCCCTGAAATCTGGGCTGGTATCAGAGAAAAGTGAGATTGGAGATCCAGGGCTAGAGTCACAGGACAGACTGTAAAATATACCACTTTTTATGGCGAATATATGTGCTAGATACACAGTCCATTCCAATGTATGACTGAAACCCTATAGCTCCGTGGTGTCCAACCAGTTCTGAAGCAGTAGCCGCCAGAGTGGCTA